TCATCATCACCATTTCTGACCATGGTGAATTATGGGGATCGCATCGCGACCCTTCAAGAGACGATTGACAAATTACGGCCCATCGTGGATATGTTGCATGATCTAAAAATCAGCCTAGTGCAAAGGTTGGATGACCTGGACCGCAGAATGCGGAAGGCCGAAATTGACATAGCAAACATCAGTCGCGACTCTGAGGAAGACCGGCAAACGGCTGCCGTCGAGGCAACCAAAATTCATGGCAAATTCGAGGACCTCCAACAGGAGCGTGCCGAGGATTTAGCCTATCGGGAACTAGAGGCAGACAAACTGACCGTCATGCAGCAAACCATAGACAACTTGACAGGCCAGCTCAATGTTGTCAATGGTGCCCTTCAAAGCCTGCTCAAAGGAGGCGAAAACCAAATCAGGGGTGCCATGAACATCGCCCCCATGCCACAAAAGTTGAAAATTCCGGAGCCCAAGCCATACAACGGAGCCCGGGATGCTAAAGAAGTGGAAAACTTCATCTTCGACATCAAACAATACTTCGATGCCGTTGGAAAGTTGGAGGAATCCAAGAAGGTAGCAATTGCTGCCATGTAACTTCAAGGCGATGCAAAACTCTAGTGGCGAGTCAAATACGAAGCCATCAGGGCCGGTGAAGATACTCTCCAGACATGGGCAGAACTGAAGGCTGCCATACGCCTGCAGTTCTTCCCCGAAAACGTGGAATACAATGCACGGAGAAAGTTGCGTGAACTCCGCCACACCAGGTCGGTGCGGGACTACGTGCGTGAATTCTCCGCACTCATGCTAAATATACGGGATATGAGGGACAAAGACAAACTGTTTGCATTCATAGAATGTTTGAAACCTCATGCTCGTATGGAACTACAAAGACAACGGGTAGATACCCTGCCCAAGGCCATTCAAGCTGCAGAGTGCCTTGGGGGATTATCAGTTGGAAACTCAGAAGGATAGGCTCTAGCCGCCTGTACGAGGGGGATACAACGGGAGCCAACCTAGCAACGGTGGCCCCAACAGAAACGGAGGAGATCGAGGTGCATCCAAATCTAAGACTCCTTCCTCAAATAGCAACAGTGCTGCATCAGTCAACAACAATCAGGGGAGAAAGCCCCATCAGAATGCCGTCATTGCGGCGGGGAACATTGAAACAATCAATGCCCCAATACACAAATCAATGCTCAACAAACTGTTGACGACGATGAGTCAGATCAGGACGGCTCAGTCGGTGCAGAACAAGTAGGGGCCTTCCAGCATTTGTTGGCTCCATTCATGATACCTTGGCGGGAACCAGTGCTGGTAACCCCATGAAGAACGCATTCCCAATCGACAAGAAAGGGAAAGGAAAGGCGGACGAGAGTCCTCCCACATCACAAAAGAGGACCTTAATATTCGTTGACATGAAAGTAAACGGCAGACCTATTCGGACATTGATAGACACGGGTGCTAGCCACAACTACCTGGCCTCAACTCAGGTGCAACGCCTCGGTTTAGCAGTGCAAAAATGCAAGGGTCGTGTCAAGGCTATCAACTCTCCATCTCAATCAGTGAGTGGAATAGCCAAAGAAGTGCCAATGAAGCTTGGCCCATTCAGGGGAATATTCGACCTACGCATAGCTATCATCGATGACTTCGAACTGATAGTGGGATTGGAATTCCTCATGCAAACAAACATCATCCCGGAACCATATGCCAACATGCTCCTAATGATGGGAGACAAAGGGGCCAAACCCCGCACCATACCGTGCATACCTATAAAGATGGCCGCTGGAAACATCTCGGCCATGCAGTCAAAGAAGGGAACCAACAGACCTGAACCTACGGTTCCGGCTGCCCTCAACATCATCAAACAAACATCACATCATCGGTGTCCAACAGCTCATGGCGCCCCTCATTGTGTGAAGACTTGTCAAGTATTCCAAAAGGACAAGTCGGATCACTCAGCACAAGCGGGACTCTTGGAGCCGCTACCTGTCCCACAGAGACCTTGGGAAAGCATTTCCCTGAATTTCATCACAGGATTACCCAAGGTCGGAAATCATGCAACCATCATGGTGGTAGTAGACCAATATTCCAAGTATACTACCTTCATCGCAGCTCCACAGAACATATCGGCAGAAGATACAGCTCGACTCTTCTTCTCTCATGTTGTCAAACATGGGGTATGCCCAACAATATCATTAGTGACTGCGACCCACGCTTCACTAGCAAATTTTGGACCCAACTCTTCAGTTGCCTCGGATCCAAATTGAGTTACAAGTCAAGCCATCATCATCAGCAAACATATGATCAAACAGACCGGTTCAATGACATGCTGGAGGAATATCTCCGCCAATTTGCAACCGGGCCACAAACACATTGGGTGAAGCTTCTGGATGCTGCTCAGCTGTGTTTCAATTCACAAAAGTGCGCTCATACAAACAAAAGTGCTTTTGAAATTGTTACCGGACAACAACCGCTACTCCCACATAATGTGAATGCACCAAACATGCCAACATCTCCTCGAGCTGTTAGTTTCTCGACAGAATGGGAGCAAACTTTGAAGATAGTGCGGAGCTATCTTGTTAAAGCCCAAGAGAGGGCAACGAGGTATGCCGAACAAAACCTTCGCTTTGCCCAACATCAAGCAGGGGACAAAGTGATGGTAAGAACCCCGAGGCGGAACTTGTTTGCAAAGAGGACCCAAGATCCTCGCCTATTGCAAAGCTACATTGGGCCTTTTTCCATTGAAAGGCGCATCGGAAAATCCACATACCAGCCGAACACACCAGCCTGGTGAAAAATCCAACCAGTCTTCCATGTCAGCCACCTCAAGCCATTTCAGAAATACATGAATGATCATTCAGAAAACCACCTCACAACACCGAGGGGAACAGATCTCCCAACCATCAAGAGCCTGACCAATCATCATCATCCTGCAGGTAAGGCTCCGAGGATGTCGCCAACTCAGGTGGGGGAGAATGTAATGGGCTGCTTTCCATCATCGACCCATGACCCCTTGGACGCGCCCCGTAGAGTCCCGGCAAGCCTCCCAACGCCTAACGCCACGGTCGGCCCCGTGGTCTCGGCAACGCCAAGTGACAAGCGCGCATACGCCTCTGTCGCCCCACCGATAATCAGTGCCGCGCGCACAAACCATCATGTTGCCAACAACGCCGTCCGCACAGACAGTGCCCCGCGCGCAGACCCAATGCCAAGCACCAGCGCCCAGCCGCTGACAGATCCAAATAGTGTCGCGCGCGCCAACAGCAATGCGCGCGCAGACCCTGATGCTCAAGACAAAGTTGCTGCCATCGGACTTGCTTCCATAAAAGACTAAGTCCTTTTCATTGTAATTATAGAGTAGTTTTACTTCATTCATTTTCAGTGTGCTTCTACAGCTTTCTTAGGTCAACTCATGTAACTTTGGTTTATTTTTTTTAAGCATTATTAAGGGGGACCAAAGCATTCAAACATTCAAACAATTCTCTGTACTGGTGTCTCTCCCCCGACACCGCATAACATCTTGTAATAGCTTTCATCATCATCAATACAATCATCAGCTTTCATCATCAATTGCTCATTTTCCGCTGCTCAATTATTCATGACATTGATTTTCCCGTACGGCACTGACAATCTAGTCTAGCGTACGGAGGGGACCTCAGTTGGCGCATAGCAACCGCACTGACATCGGTTGCTTCGCCTTACGTCGCCCTTCCAAGGAACTTCAGGAAGGCGCCACGTAACAGATATTATGTCCAACTATTCATTTGTTATTTACGAACAAAAGTACTTGCACATATTGAATGATTAGGACCAAAACTTCTAAAACACAACGAAATTCAATTACTTCTGTTTGAATTCCAGAAAAAAACAGCAGGACAACTTTTCTCTTCTGATTTTGATCCATATAATATAAACTTCAGTTGCAAAGTCTGCTGTGCCTCGTCGCCTTCTTTTGCCAAACTCGCTTTGCACCCAAAATGCTCCAAATTATGGGATGCGTTAGCGACGGCCATGTCACTAACAATGGTGATAACACACACACAAACACAATAAAAAAAAGTGCAAGAACATATTTCCCGTGTTCTTGAGATCCTGAAGCTACTTACTTCAGAGCTGAGCCCTCAATAAATAATCGAAATTACAGAATGAATGTCAATTAAAAGACTCAAGATTGTTTTATGCACAAGACTTTGAGAATACTTTTAAACACAGTGCGCATGATGCACCAACACTCAAGACTATCTACACACCCAAACATGCTGGGGAGTTTTGACTATAAAAGAATCATATGTTGATTCTGATGTGACTTTTTACAATGTCTATTTATTGCTACAGGGAGGGAACCAGAAACCTATTCCAGCATCCCTCAAATGCATGACGTCGACTGACTCTCTACCAGTTATCCCAATACCGGCAGAATGCAAGGGGCTAGATACAACAAGATGATGATGTTGAAAGAAGTGCAACCTGCAACTTCTATGTATCCTCACTCAATCATCTGGAGTGACTCAGACATTGAGCTCTCACGGTGAGTATTGACCTTTGACTTTTTTATAACCTGCATCAACGCAAATAGCATTAAGACTAAAGACAGTTTAACTAGCTAATAGTTTTTACATGAGTTACCTAGGAGAAAGATAACCTTACTGCAGTTTCTTTTCCTTTTTCTTTTGTCTGCATATCAAATTAGTAGATTAATTTTCAGAGTTTCTTAGTTCCCCCCAGCAGATTCGATTCATAATAGATGACAAAGAGGGCTAGGAGCGCTCTGTGTGTGTGTGTGTGAGAGAGAGAGAGAGAGAGAGAGAGAGAGAGAGAGAGAGAGAGAGAGAGAGAGAGAGAGAGAGAGAATTTAAAGGAAACAAAAAAGTTAAGCCAAAAGCAAAATCTAGTACCTATAGAATGCAAAGTGAACAATTTGCAAGGTTAGATTGAAAGCCCGCCTCTCAAGTAGCAGTACTGCTGCTTTTAGTCCTGCTGCAATCTAGGATACCTAAAGGTAAAAAGCAGAACACAAACATCAGAAGGAAAATTGTGCAAGCAAATACATACGGCGTGTGAAAATAGAAAAAGACCTCTCATTAACTTGATTAACAATGTACAAGAGGTGCTCCTTATAGAAATCTTAAGCTATGCATAATATGGTAGATAATCCATCCCTATATTAATAAGGTAACTAAATATATTAACACTCTGTTGGGTCTGAATCACCGCTTACCTTGATAAAATCTCACCCTGCATTTTGGTCAGAACCGCTACCTTGCATAAATTGAGGAGAATGAGTAGGTAGCATAAACTGTGGCTGTGGAGTAACAGGCGCTCCGACACCTAAAAACAAAAAACGGTTGCTTTACGATACTGCCAAATTTAGGCCAAGCTACAGAAATAGATGAGGTTAAAGCATTTTTTCTAGATGTTTGATACATACGGAATACAGATTAACGTCAAAGATATGCAAGGCTACCATGCATGCATATATATATATAAAAGACACAAAATAAAAGAGATGTGCCTGTTGGGTATGGTGCTTGAATAGTTGGGATGGATGAAGCTGTCATTGCATTGACACTGGGTCCACCAAACTGAAGAATCTGATGACCTGGCATTGCATAACCCTCCAATGTTGTATAACTGTGACTTCCAGGAACAGCCTGACTTAGCTGGCCGTAAGGATACATTGTTGTGTTAACACTTCCAGGTACACCATATATAGGAAGGTACTGTTGACCTCCATAAGGATTGTAAACACCCTATCGGATAAAATTACAGTACGCATCAAAATTGAGTCTCATGCTGTCAAGATAAAATTGCACTTGAACCTTTTTACTGCAGAAGAAAGAAAGGGATAAACCGTAACTTCTCCATTTATGCAGAGCTACTAACCTGAGGGTAAACGTAATCCCCACCATATGTTGCATACCTGCATTAATAAATAATATAGAGCTAACTATGCTTTCTAACAGCTGCGATTTTAAATGTAATACACAAATATAAATGAGGTCCAAACTCCATCTGATGAAATGTACTAACAAATGACTAATCAAGATAAAGGTCTACGGTCCATCAAGTGAATGAACTAATTTTTTTTAAAATTATGAATAGGTAAAAGGTTCTTTCTAAGAAAAAAGGGTGGAACCTTTTGCTCTTTCTCAGTAAAAAGAGTGAAACCATTTGTTCTGCATGCAAATAAGAAACTCATGAAATTTAAAAAAGAACGCAATCAAGCTTGGCCCTTATCCCCACAAACATACTCTGGAATGGCATTTCAAGAATTGCCTAGCAAAAACATTACGAGACAGTCTTACTAGCACTCTCTTTGTGCTAATGATTTTTAACATTGCTACCTTACTCAGAAACAGTATGCTCATAAGTTAATTTACTGAATTTTATTTTCTCCTACAGCCAATTATCTTGATGTTTCCCCTCTATGATTCTACTATAAAATTTCCATGAGTTTACTTCAAATGGTAATAATTCTTTTGGGTAAGTTAAAATAAAACAACAATAACATGTGAATACTGAAACATTTATAAATAAAATAGGCTCCTAATTTTTATGCATTTGGAAGCCGAGAAATATATGAACATTTAACAGCAAAAGCAGTCATATTTGAACACAATTTTTAATGGCCACAGACAGGCTAAGGTGCAGCTGAAAACATGCAATATGAAGGTTAACGATGCGCTAACTTGTAGTTTACAAGCAAGATGAACGAACTAATATAATTTAAGGTTCTCTACTCCAAAATTTCTTACATGTAATAATTTAATTAATAAATATCTTATTGTTCTCAGGCACACTAATTCTTATATCACACAGTTTACCAGATTAAGATTCGAGAAAATTGTCACAAGTTGGCTGCATCCAAAGTTCTGACTAACTTATGAATCATAGCCATGACCATTAGCATGGAATCTGTGATCCGATTACAACATGAAAGAAATTATATGGTTATGACATTTAAAATTCAAATGATTCAAAAAAGGTCTACATTCCAGTAGAAAGGGTATAGTGCAAATGAATCTTGCATAGTCTAATTAGTCATTTTCTTCCAAATTTCTATGTGGATTATGGAGAATTATATGCATGCCTGCGACACACAGCTTACCCATAGGGAGAATACATCAAGCCTTGTTGGTAGCCATAAGAAACCGGTTGCTGGTAGCCAAAGCTTCCAACGTAAGCACCCCGAGCAGCTGGTAGACCTGCTGGAAATGGAGTTGATGGCCTCAGACGTCCTGTACCCAATGAAGTGGAAATAAGCTAATGCATTTTAAAGAATCAGCATTTTTTTCTTTTTGGTTTTTTTCCTTTTTCAGGGTAGGATATGCCATAAAAGATATTAAATGGTTAGGTGTCATTTATTTGAAGTTGAGCAGATTGTGGTATTAGATCTCTGTCAAACACACAACCTGCCATTAAAATCATCATTCACGGGATACTTTTAAAAGAGATGATCCTTATAGATGTTTTTATAACAAGTTTCAGGCAGCTTTAGCATTCCTCGTACAAAAAGCCATTAAGGGAACTTTGCACCTTCCTTAATTTCAAAAATTATGAATGTGTTTGAGAGAAGCCAAGGAAACAGCTCTCCACATCGATTATGCAAAAGGTCAGATAAGTAATTGACTAAGCCTGCTAGTGGTGTATGTGTTCTACCAGTCAATTTTGGAGGATTTGAAGAGCAAATCCCGTCGTCACCGAGCCCCGAGGAGGTAGATAGGTATTGCGAATTTGCAAAGAATTAAAGTATTTTTATAAATATACTGCACCTGTTATGTTACAAAAATCAGGCATTTCATTTCAGCAAACAAAGGAGTAGTTCAATGGGCTTAAGTTCATTGCATCGCTTCGTCATGAGGGATAATTTCTTGTTAGTACAGGAGAAAAAACTAAAGAGTGTTCTGAAGCACGGTTATTGATCACATGCACTTCCTCATGCTCAATCGTCTAGTCAAGCTGATCAACTCTTTTTATTTCTCATTTTTGTCCCCAAGAGCTGCAAACTCTTTCAAACTAAAATATAAGAAATTCCCAAAGAGCAGGCAAATCTAATGCATTGTATGTTTCAGTTCAATAAAAGATTATCGAAATACAGAACTTCATCTCTATTTGCCAGATCCTAGCATCTTATCACTCATCCTACTATCTTCATTCCACCACTGAGTATCAATCCTAAGGCTTATCTTCTCATATTCTTTTTACTTGTGTGACAATTTCTCCCTCGATTTTCCATTTCTTCATCTCAAAAAATATCTCCACCATAATATGATAGCTAAGATGGATCATACATTTTCTTATATAAGCTGGGAGTGCATGCAAACTTAACAAGAAGAAATGTATACAAATAGAAAAACAATCTACAAGCTAAATACAATTGAAAGCAATGGAAGAACAAGTCATCCAGCAACAATTGATATGATTATCGAGCTCATCAGACTGCCTAGATTTGCAAAAGCAACTCGATGGAACCACTTAATAAGCTACAATAATTATAATAGAATAGAGCAGAGCAGTCAACCAAAATAAGCTACAATACCAAATGGCACAGTAGGCCGAGGTCGCCCTAACGAAGCCAAATTACAATTTGCCCGCCTCCCATCGATAATTGGAGCAGGATCAGCGCACGCCCTCCTCGCGGACTCAGGGTTCCGGAAAGTCACCTAAACCCTCCATAGAAATACCATTGTGGAAATTATGTCATTCAGTTATCCAAACTCTCAGCTGCAAGCTTAGTAATAAAGGAAAATACATGCACTTTAAATGATTTAGCAAAAAGAAACCTTTTCTGATCCGTAAGAAAGAAAGAGAAAACAAAAGATAGTAAAAAAGCTGTAATCTTTTCAAACTCAGTAAACAAATTATAAAACATTTAAGGAGAAAAATAAAGCAAACAAAAGGAGACTGACAAAGCCATAGCCTTTGGATCGGGCAGTATTTTTATCAGTGATGACAACAGCCTCAAGGATTTCACCAAACTGCTCAAAGTATCTCCTGAGGGTTTCACTCTGAGTTTCCCAAGCAAGGCCTCCAACAAAGACCTTAGTAAAAGTGGTGTCCCCAAATGGAGAATTATAAAATGGAGCGGAGCCGGAACCCCCAACTGCTCCCTGCTGTTGTTGATAAGCCATAAACCCAAATTTGATTGGAAAAACGAAGAGAAGAAGAACTAAGGGAATAAGGGAGTAGTATTACTTTTAGAACAGAAACAAGAAGCTATTCACGTTATACAAAAGTTGATCAAGTAAAAACCCCACCTCATTATAAACAGAAAATAATCCCCTAAAAATTGGCAGAAAAGATCTATAGGAATATACAAAAACAAGAAAAGGGTTGTTTGAAGAGAGAACTAAAGAGGAGGAGAGGAAGAGAAAACAAAGGATCAAGAAGAAAAAGGAAACCCTAGAAATAAAAAGAGAGATTAGTAGGTCAAAAGGTAGAAGGAGGGTCAAGGTGGGGTTTTTAAGAGGGGAGGGTGGATCAGCTGTACAAGAGAGCAGAGTAAGAAGGAGAAGAAGAGAGGGTGGGTGGGGTAAAAAGGTGAAGAAGCTGGGTCATCATCATACAAAGAAGAGCACGACAAGTTTAAAAAAAAAAGGGAGAGCGAAAAAGTTAGAAAAATAACTGAGGCTAATAAGCATTCATGGCGGATCCTAAGAAGTGGAACAGTAAAAGAAAGGAATTTGGATTTGATTTTGAAGAATTGGGATTGGAATTGGTGAGAAATGATGGAGAGAGAGAGAAAAACATAGCATAACAGTAGAAATAGAAGGAGAAGCAAGTGACTCAATCATCATCGTTTTTAATTGCACTGTGAAAAACAAATGGATTTCTCTCGTTAACGGCTTTATACTCTCTTTATTTTTAGCAATGGAAGTAGTGGCAGGTCAGCTTTGGGCAGCTGGGCAGCTTCTTTTATGGTCCTACACTCCTACTCTGTCTGTTCTAGCTTTCCCAATTTGTCATTTTTTTTCCTTTTTTTAATTACTTTTTATATTCAAAATTAACTAGTTCAATTAATTTTAATTTACATCACACAAAGCTTATTAACAATTTGTTTGGATTGTCGTTACGTGTCGTTTCATAATGTATCGTATTGTATTATATTATTTGATGTGATGAATACAATGTTTGGATAGATCGTATCGTTTGTCGTCGTTTCATGATGTCACGCACTAACAATATGAAAAATAAACTTGCAATATTGCTAAGAAAAAATAGGATACGGAGTAGAATTATTATATATAAAAAATAGAATAAAGAAAAAATATGATTGTTTAATAATAAAGAAAGACAAGATGAATGGGAAAAAGCAAAGAAACGACGTCACCACATCAAATACGTCATTTCATAAAGGGGCATCTTTCGTCGTTACATAACGTTGGATTTAACGATACCATACAATAAAATTAAAGTAACAATCAAAACAAATATTGTATTTAAAGTAATAATACGATACAAAACAATAAGTAACAATCCTCCAAACAAGCTGTAAAAAAAAAAAAAAAAAAAAAAAAAAAAATTAATAAGAGTTTTTCTATTCGTAAAGTTCGAATCTACAACCTTCGATTAAAAATATAAAACTCTCATCAATCCCGCCATATCCTTGGCGTTGGCGATCATTCATATTTTCTTTATTAACCCAAATAATTGTGATTTTTGTTTCAAGACTTCCCCACTTGTACCCCTTTTATATACTACTATGCCAACTATGGCACTTTATTACTTGAATCTTTCAAACTCAATTTACAATGTAAATCGAAATAAATTAGGATCGGACCGAACAGTAAAAAGATTGCATAATTTAGATGAGCAATTGTTTGATGGAGTAATATTTACAAGGATTGATGACAACTTTAGAACTTACTTGGTCTCAATCACACACACATAAACATGTGTATGTATATCGTACAAATATTCTTTAGGGAAGGTTCTTAAATTTGTCTTGGTTTTCATTCTCTTGACAATTAGCTTATTAAACATAAGCATGCGACTTTCTCGCTCAAATGTTGTGTTCCAGCTTAGTGTTAATACGAATGGTGGCAATTACTAGGTGCTTTTCGGATATGTTCATATCGAATTGTCCAAAAGCTTATATAAACTTCTATATTTCCCATAAGACAGCTTATTTTCAAGGCTACTTTCTCAATAAGCTCTAGATCCTCCAACATAAACCTCATGGAATCAGTGTTCCATGAGTGCAAATGAATACCCCCGGCCCAAATAATCCACGGGCACCGCCAAGGTTCAGCTTAACAGCTTTGATAAACCTCATATTTATTTTAGTAAATTCATTAAATATGCACAAATTAATAATTTAGAACCCAATAATTTAAAAGAATTGAAATCTTGAATCTATAAGCTTCAAATAATAGCTACGCCTCTACAATAACCCCAGTGAGAAAAAAACAACAACAACAACAAAACAAAACAAAACAAAAGAAATATCACTCAAAAGGAGTAAAATATAACCTCCTCAATCAAGATTATATTATTACATATAGATACTAGTTCGCAAGAGTATTATGTTGAAAGACAGGTAGGGCAAGTACCACAATGAATATTACAACAAGTAAAAAGGTGGACTTGATATTTTTCTCTTCTTCAATCAAAAATGCCCGCTTGTTTGTAACTTTCAACAGCATCAATTAGAGTTTCCTCCAGTGGCCTGCATTTCCACCCCAACTTCTGCAGTTTCTCTGTGCTATAACTTCCTTCCTCCATCACATCGGTAAAGCTGTAAAAGACACAGTATTTTTAGGACAAAAGATTTAGATAAATGTGGAACATCTATCCTGTAGAAAAAACAAGAACACTTATCAATAAAATCAACCAAATAGACCAAACTCATTATGCATTTTCTTTTGTTACTTCTTGCCAAGACACACTGTAAAAAGGAAATCAAAATCCCATAAATCATTACGCTGCTTTTTCGTAACTCCTATACCAGCCACAGGAAATAGGATACTAGATTCCCACTAAAGAAGCCTAAGGTAGAATGGAGAGAAATTCACCGTTTAGGATAGTTGTAGTTGGGGTAGTGTCTCTTCAGCATGTCAACCAAATCCTGTGATTTCGCTTTATGAGCCATGCATATGTGCCTACCTTCAGCTTCAGATTTCTCATAAACCAGCACCAGCGCTTCAGCTAAATCACGTACATCTATAATAAACCGGCTCTTGTTTTCTAGCTCTTCATATCCTTCTACGTGAACGACACGAGCAAAGAGAGGGAGGTCAGTCACTTCAAGTGAAAAAATGAGAGAACCATGACCACGGATCCATATACATGAAAGCACAGAAACAACACATGAAGCCATCAACATAAGAAAACGCAAAGTATTACAAAACTAAGCGGACAGAATTTTTAAGCACTTGTGTTCCCTTTAGGTAGTCAATCTCGAGAGGAATGGAGATATAGCAAATCTTGTTAATGTTACAACAGAAAAAGTAGGTATAGAGGGGTTGCGGTATATCCCTATAGGTGGAAGTTTGTATGTTTCAGAAAATTTTCTTATATTCCAAGATTCTCAATCAGTTCCCCATAATTTCCATGATTATTAGGTCAATTCGTTTGCTTACAAGGAAATTAACATTTACTATCATTAAAGACAACGTTTAGTAGCTATTGGTGCATAGTAGCTGGGATGTCTTTTATCTAACCAAGCAATGTACTCGGGACTTCATGGCTAAAGCAATGCTTAAACCATTAGAGCAGAAGGATGAGAACATAGCACCCAAGCAATGCTTGTAGCGAGCTATTCATGCAACCAGAGATGTAGAAATAGAAAAAATAATGCAGATACATCCACACACTAAGGTATTAACTATGCCTTGTTGGTACCTTTCAGCAGCTTAATGAGAATTAAACTACTGGCATTTGTTGTCTTCTGCAACATTGGTCCCCATACAATTGTTGGGAGCACAGTTACAAGATCAAGTCCACTTTGTTTTGCATATGACCAAGCTTCTGTCTCAGCCATCGTTTTGGAACAACTATACCAGTTCTGCATGAAGATGGAACCAAAAAATTCAATCAGATAGGGAACTGCTCTAGCAAAATAAGCATTTAAGATTCAAATCTGAAATTACCTTTCAAAAACTAAGCAAATAAGACAGGAAACTGCTCTAGCTAAATAAGCATTCAAGATTCAAATCATAAATTGCTTTACCAACACTAAATACCGTATGTAAGAAGTATGTTGATTATTACCGATCACAAAAGAAATATGTGATTATTAACTAAAAATCTTATAATGACCACAAAAAATCAAATTCAAAAACTTGTACTCAGTAAAAGAAGTTACATTAGTTGCTTTGCAGTATTCACTGTCCGACCAACAAGTCTCGTCTTTCACTTGATCCTTTGGCCAGTTGGGGTTATAGTCAAGAGCAGAATTAGAAGATACATAAACAGCCCTCTTGATGTTTGCTTCAGAACTTGCCTTCAGAACATTAAGTGTGCCTTTTACCGCAGGCTCAACAATTTCTACCTGCAACCAAGCCACCGAACATATCAAGAAGATATTATTTTTTTGTGTGTGTAGAACTAGCTCATAATGGGAATACAAAAGCAATCTAGAAATTCCCAATACGATGTATCCTAGCACGGAACTGATTTTCCAATGTCTTAGACTCCCAGATCGTGGAGCTCCTAAACAGTGTCTCGTACCAAAATATCATTAATCATCCTCAGAAAACTTTTTTGAATAGTACAATTGTGTAAAATCCCAATATAAATTCACCATCTTGTTTTTCATTTCTGTAGAAATATACCTCTAAGTGCTTTCAACAACTAATAACATGTATTAAAGGTAGCCTACCCTACTGCTTGTGAAGATTCCACTCATGATATCTGAAGATCTACAAAGTGAAACTAGAGAATGTGATTCATATCAACAAAGTGAATAAGTTTACTCTCTAGTACATGTTTAGAGAAGCTAATTTTCTTCCATATGTGGACAGAAATAAAAAAATTAAACAGGTAATAACAAATTCATAAATACCTCAGGATTTGGTACAGAGGATGAAGGAACAGGACTAGCAAGATGAAAGACACCATTACATCCTTTGATAGCTGCAGCAAGCGAGTCGTAATCTAGCAAGTCTGCCTTGAAAAGTTTTAGGTTCTCAGCAGCTTTGTCAAGATTCATCAAATGAGAATACTCCTCACCTGCAAATTCATTTACAATAAGGCCTCTTCAGTAATATTTACCTACATTGAATAAGATTTAGATATTACTACTCCCTCCTCTGTCCCAATCGGATTTTGAGAGTCAAAACTTCTTAAATTCGGATTTTTAAGTTTTTGAAACAAAATTTTGAAAGCTACTACTATAAGTCACAATTCAAAATATATAAAGGGCATATGAAAAAACCGCAGACAAGGAAAAACTGGACTCAACTCCGCCACATAAATTAGGACGGAGAGAGTACTACTTACAATCTCTAACAGTGCCATGAACAGTGTAATCCTTAGAAAGGAGAAGCTTCACTAGCGACGTAGCCACAAATCCAGCTGCTCCTGTTACGCACACTCTGCACTTCTCCCCCGTCAACGCCATTGTTCTGTTATTATTTTTCTTCTTTCTGGAACAAATGAAGTTGTTGTAGTAGTGTTTTTGCTTTTCTTTTCCTGCTCTCACTCTCACTCTTGTCTATAAATCATTTGCTTTCAAGAAAAGAAAAAGCATAAGGGACCATTCACACATTAGTTTACTGTATTCCGACGGCTAACACATATCCTTTTGCAACGTGTAGATCCAAAACCATTAAAATATGATTCCACTGCAAGTGTTCAGAGTTGGTAGAAATTTTTTCTGTCGT